AAATAGCTTATTCTAGCTTTTATGAGAGAAAAAATGAAATAGCTTATTCTAGCATTTTTATCATTATAGTTTACTTATATTTGTGATTTTATTTTGGCAACACTGCTTCGACGACATACACACGCTCGTCCGTTCGACTCCTCTCCTACGGCAACCAAAAGAAACCTCGTGACCAACGCCACTCGCCGTTAACAAATCTCACTTCTGACACCATATTCCTTGCGCATTGTTCGGCATTCGCTATTGTAAAAAATATATATTGAAACTCTTACCAACGAACCACCGTGTTTTGTTTCTTTTTTTAATTCCTCATTTCACGTCACGAACACGTGACATTGTTGGAGGTAGCCGGTGCTAACCGTTCCGACTACTACACAATATCTACCTCCGTAATAACCTCCACAGTTGATATAAAACACATGATATCAATTAGTGATAAGCACACCTTTAACATGCTGGATGCTTGCTCAAATAATATTGAAAATATTATTTTATCAACAACAACCACGGCAGCTACTTGGCCTTGGCAACCGCGTACCTCGTGGCATGGCCAGAGTGGTGCGTGACGGTGAACAATTTATAAAAGTGGTCCGTGTCTATTGTTGAGTTGGGAACCACTGCCCTAAACAGACTCATACACTGTGTAGTAGTCGTCGAACCAAGAAGACCATCAAAGGACATCCCGCAATGCACAAACTGCCAACTCTTCACACACACGAAAACATTTTGCCATCTACCTACCACCTAAGTAGTATGTTTTTGAGGAGTTTGGCTCCATTTTTACAGGGAGATGAAAAAAATCAAGTGAACAAATTCCCCTTACAGTGCATCCAATCTCCCTGTAATTTCAAAACAAAATGTTTAACCAGTTACATTATTAATTTACCAGACATGATGTTAAATAAGACATAATTAATTTAAAATATTTAGTTAGGTTTTAATGAACCGTGCAATCAAGTTGTGTTTTATTTTTTATTTTTCCGACAAATTATCTTATTGATTTTTACGATTAAATATTTTCAGTTTTATCAAAAACCATGAATTTACAGAAATTTTCAATAGATTTTCCATCGTTAGTTTATTTGGTACGAAATAATTCGTATCCAGTATATTCAGAGTTCTACAACGTTTTTATCGAAAT